AGGCTTTCTTAAACTAGTCGCTGACCTTACGCGTCTCGACATGATCCGGAATAATGATATCTGGAAGAGCCTTGGTATACAGCCTTTGCTTCTCCAGATTGAGAAGTCACAGGTGCTATGGTTTGGGCATGTGTTGCGAATGCCTTCAGAAAGGAAGACTAAGCAAATGTTTCTTTCGAAACTGACCGGCAAAAGGCGCAGGGGGCGGCCAAGATTAACCCGGTGAAAATATATGCAAGGAGTCTGTTTCAGACTCCAGTTGTCTTCTGACGAAGCTCAGACTCTAGCACAAGATGGGGAACGCTGAAAGCTGTGTCTGACACGTCCGCCTGCGGAACCCGAAATAGAAGCGGCCATGGAAGATGAAGGTAAAGTTTCAAGGGAATCAGTGAAAGGGAAAGAGCCAGTTAATGACGTCGCATGGTATCGACCTTATGTAACTGGGCCCTCGCCAGCGAAGCAGCAAAACTGTGGAACTGGGAATCATGGCGGTTGAAAGCTACCACTAAGCCAACTTCATGATCCGTGCTCAGGCCGGTTTTGCTCTTCTGACAGTACGGAACCTTAGTGACGCAGTCACTGAATGGAAGGATATCAACGAAGATTGACAATTATATGAGTTAAAGGTGATGGTGCATAGTCGAGGGAGCCACGTTATGCGAAGTTAGAGTGGTAGTTCAATGGTTTCAAACAATTCAATTGTTTGAACATCTCAGGTATGATTTTGCTCTTCTTTCCCCGTAGCTTTGCCACTTTTCAGCTGTTTAATCGCAGTCGTTTTCTTTTGCCACTCTATTACTATTTAAGTAACCGATATTACGGTAAGAGTATAGGCAGCACATAATTTAATTATAGGAAATCGTCACAGTATTGTCTTTATCAGTAGAAAATGCCATCCTTGCGTCAGAAGGTTTCAACGTTACGTTTCCACAGCCGTAATGGTGGCTGATGTTCATCGATGTAGGAGGGGGAATATCTGGCAAAATACTCCATGCACCCGTCAGCAGTCAGATCAGTTTTTTCCCAGATGATTCCAAAGCCATTAAATATATCAGTTTCACTGGCTGTCCATCTGATTTGTGAGTTTGTAACGAATACGTAAAAAATACCAAGTTTTTTCGCAAGCCAAGGCCCAATGAACCTCCTCTTCTGTTCTGAAGGAGCACAGAATTCCTAATTCGAACAAGGAGTATTTCGATGCCGTCATCTTGACAAAAACTTAGTTTTATGACACATTATGAGACGAAGCATCTATGGTTCAACTAAACAGCTCTATTCCGCAGTGCATCTGAAATTGGGCGGGGTATCCTTTAAACTCAGCTGACATATTACCAGTAAGCTTATTTGTCACATGGCATGTTCACTATGCAAGTTGTCCTATTTTATTCTGTAGACAAATTTTGGTCTAATGGTCTTCTGCGCCGCCATGGATTTTTAAATGAGCTGGCTGTGGATAAACGTGCCATGGCTCTACCTATAATCTAACCTACCCAGTAAACCAGAAAGTCGAAAAATATCCGATAGAACGATGACAAAGCTCAATTAAGTGCTCACGGAGTAAACTGTTAAGATACAGTGAATATTAAGTGTACTTATGCATGGCACCATGCCATGAAGTCTGGAAACGGTTCTTTCAATCACACTTTCGAACTTGCACAGTGGAGCCTCGACAAAGAGAACGCATACCATGTCAACTACTCTTCTCAGCCCTTTCGATGAATTATTTGCTATCAAATTCCAGATTTAGTGCATACATTTGCACACGAACCAGCGGTCACTCAGTTAGGCTTAGCTTCAGCATGCAAATCTAGGACATTACTTCGAAACTTAATACTCCAAAAACAGCCAGAAGAAAATGCACTATGGAAGAGTTTGAACTATTTAATTAACCAACCGTTCCAGATATATTTAATTTGGCATTAAAAGAATTAGCCTATTAGTATGAAATAAGACGCACTTTCCTCGTTTCCAATGCTTCAGTAAATCTGAGATCTACTCTCGTATAGATATCTAGCGACAGATAAAGTCTGAAATCTGACATGGTATGAGAAACGTGATTTGTCATGCTTCTCCAAGTGTTGACATTCGTCCTCCTGAGAGAAGTTACTGAGTAGCAATTTAATGCCCATCATTTTCAGCAATTATGAAGCTACGATATGGAAAAACCTACTGCCTCAATTCAACACCATAAACTATAGCGAGTTTAGAAATGAGCGTTTTTTGACCCAACAGAGCCTTCAGTTTTTGTTAGATGTATGTAATAACCAACGCATTTGCACGTTTTCTTTACCAGTTGTAGTAGTGTTTTCAAAGAGGTCCAATAGATGCGACATAGTCTGGGTTCCATAGGATTGTAACCGACTTTCCTCCAGCTGGGAAACATTTCATATTATCTCTCAAACGAAGATCGTAATCGCAAAGAAGGTGAATTAATGTGAATAGCAATTATCAATGGAGGCGCATGAAAACAAGCCCTTAGTTAGAGAGGTCGCTATCGGTATTGAATTATTGCTAATTGAGATATTGCAAGGGAATCCCGTATTTAGCATAGCTTACCAAGTTGCAGGAGAATGACGGAACAATACTGAAAGTATTAACGTTATACATATGACAGAACTACAGTTGCTTCTAAGTACTGCAACGTATTTTCTCTGAGTCATTCGCTAGACATATTTAAACGCTTAGTCTGGCATTCAGTGATCGGTTCGAGCCTGACTCTGGAAGGCTCATGAAGTCTTGAGCATTTAAGACAATCTAACTTTCTGCTGTTTCGACGAACCAGCTATGGCGGTTTCATTCAGCTTTATTTTAACGTTTTAATTTTACTGTTATTAGATTCATCAACTAATTGATATATTTCTTGATCTAAGTTGAAAACACCATTATTTGATGATTTTGTATGAACATTAGAACTAACTTACAACTCGAACATTCCAGTCGTTTTTCACTTTGTTCTGGTGGCAGTGATGCGATCCCATATCACTGTTAATTCATTTTGGTTGTTCTTCAAGACCCCTTGTCATCAAACTTGTGTAGCAATATTAACCACAAAGAAAGATGATGAAAACTGCACTGCTATTCCATAAACGAAAGAGGACCATAAACATAATTTAGCTATGCTTAGCCCTTGCTCAACCTGTAACCATTCAGAGACGATGAGATAACTTATTCATAAGGTCTTTTGAAATCAAAGTCCTTATTAAAATTCAGCAGAATTCCAAAGTCATACCCAGTGTTTATTCAATTTATCGGCATTGCCTGCTCCACATAAATTCTTCGTTCTATTTATTATCTTCACTTATTAAACGAGTCCATGCGAAATCTGACTCTATATTAATTCTTGACTGGCTCCTGACTCCATATTACCACATACCGTGACCTGACTCCATATTAATTCGAATTAATGCTATATACCCTTCGATTGATTCAGCAACACTATGCAGCGATATGTTCCAATTACAGCATCATGAAATAATACAGGAGTCCGATTTAATTCTCTAAGAATTTGATAGATGTTCTTTCAATCACTCTCGCTTGGAAGGCATGAGATAGACGGTCAGACTTCATTACCACACCTGGGCATAATCTAAGTCTTCATAATTACCTTAATTCCTTCTGACACCTTGCTTCCAACTTTGATCGATGCCTCTGAAAAACAGGAGTGAGGAGATCATTCGTTGGATAAGAGAGAAGTGACAGTAATTCATCTACCGACTGTAGGCTACCATGCCTAATAAGACTGCAAATAATAGCCCCAACAGCATTCATTCAAATATAGTAGCAATTCGCTCAGACTAAGCGGCTAACAGATATCTGACAGTAAGAAGACATTTAGCGCAGAATTTTAAAAAGCCCAAACTGAATCCTTCTTATCTTGAAACAACGTAGATTCAACGTAAATTAGAACCATTTTTGATGTATCCTGATACATCGGTCATCCAACGTTACAAGCTATTCATCACTAAACAATTCAAATACGAAAGCACTTTGCTCACATAAGAAGACCTATGCGGGGAGGAGGGGGTCAGAATAACATTGACACTGTAACCTAAGGATCAGTTAGCTATGCCATAAACAGTTGACGTATTCTGGTAATAAACGGCGACAAGGAACTGACAGGCATGCTGATGGTGTTACGACAAAACAGACTGTAGATCAGGTAAAAACAACTTACTGAAAGGAAGATTGCCAAGAAAAACTGTCGTCTTAACCGAATAATGCTTTCGATCAGCAACGTCCACAAACATGTGATGATCATCTATGACGGTTCCAGATCTAGATAGCCCACATCAACAGTCTACTATCGAATACGATAATTACAGATCCAACGCCTTCTTGACACTGGATTCATCCACAAACATGACGTAAGCGTTCACCCTGTCGACGATCGCCTTTCTGGATGAAAAACGTAGCAATTTCGATTTAATCACCGCAAAACATGTACCTCAAAATAGCGGTTCTGCGGCTCATTCCTGGTTCGGTTGGAATCTGCATAAAAATCAAACGTAAAGAACAAATGATTCATCACACTTACACATGATCGTATTCGAACTGACTCCACTGCTCCACATTGATTCATCAGTCTGCGCAGCTGTTAAAAAAAGTTAAAATGTCTCAAACAATAGCAAAGCAAAGTGATAGTCGCTAAGAATATTTAATACAGTTTTCAAGGGTAAAACCAAACAGCAGAACGAAAGAAGAGAGAAGTCAAAGGCGCAAAGTTTATGTTAAGCGGAATTCGGCCTTTCAGGGGAAAAGTTACAAAGAAAAGCAAATATACACCAGAATTAGAAGAAGCGGATTATACTAGTTTTCGTTATATATTAAGTTTTAAAGCTAAAATCGAAGCAGCATCATACAGCAAGTTTACATATTTAAATTAGCCTTTGACTTCACCGTGTAGTACTTAATACTTACCAAAAAGATGACTAAGCACAAGAATAAATCTAACTAGTTGTGAAATATTCATCTCCATAAAACAACAGTGATTCGAAAATAGATCAATCATCCACAATCTTGACAATTCTATGTAATTAGCAAGCAACGCTTAGCCAGAATCAGGCTTCTCATATTTTTCTTCCTTTAGAGCATAATGAAAATAGATGCACAGTATATCACCTTAATCCGTTGCACACGCTCTGCTGATGTTGGTTCCTGGGCTACTGCTGTCTT